TAAAGGACAGCAAGAGAGAGGGGAAGAAGGGGTGGAGGACGATATTCATATTTTTTACTTTCTTCTGGAGAAATGTTGTCTTATGTAAAATTTGAATTAGTTTAAATTTGAAAATGATAACTAACATTTAAGAGATTGGGATGTTGTTGTTAACGAAGTTAACTTTCTAAAAATAGGATTTCAAGATTTGGTGTGGCTAAAAATGAATATTGTTAAAATAAAATCGAAAGGTTATTTTGATAACCAATAATGAGACTCTAGCTATATCTAGAAAAATTTAAAATTCAAAACGGTTGTAAATAGCGAGTCGGTTCTAACTAACACCGTAAATTATCTGGTTAGATTTTAGAAGTTTATTTTTTTGCTACTAGTTCCATCTTTAAAACATTATCGGGTAAAGTCCAACGAACGTTACTTAAATACAAAAAGAATAATCAGCATATAAGAATTTTATTTTGACAAGGTAGATCTCTTCAAATCAAAAGGTTTTCGTTAAGAAAAAGAGTAGTTTTGAATTTATCCGAGAATATGTATGTCTAGTTTTGAATTTTTTTTGTTTAAAAAAACTTCGTTTTTAAGGGTGTGTTTGAGCCACATTGTTTTGAAAAAATGTATTCTGAAATAATAGATTGATAGAGAATGTGTGGTTGAAAAAAAAAAGAAAAGTTATTGATGTAATGGAAAATATTATTTTATTGATGAATGTATGATTGAAAATGAGTAGAATAATGAGAATAAAAATTTTAACATGTATCAAACAGGGGCTAAGATTAGGATATTGGGATTGTTTATCAATTTTGTTTAAGGTTTAAACATTAATGTCAATATAATTGTGTCACCAGGTATTAAATGATGGATCTTGACAATATTATAAGTTGGATATTGAAGGGTAAGTGACATTTGGAAACTATGGAGTGTAAACCAAGTTTAAGTATTGCCAATATAAAATCATAACATAATGTAGTTTATTAAACAAGTTTTGTCTACTTGTTACTTATTTATGTTTTCCGCAGATACTCAAGTGACACAAGTCACAAATCATGATGTTTGTGAATAAAAATGTCGTATATTTCTTGTTTGATTATTAAATTTTACAACTTATTTGTATAGTTGATAAGATTAATGTCACTTTCATGATTTAAGCGAATTCCATTAGCTTTAAAAAATAAGTGTTTATTGCCTTTTTTTTGTTGTTGTTGCTTTGTAGGTATTTAATCTAGGGTATTTATTATTAATTTTGATTTAAGGTTCATCAATATGTCTTGAAAGAAAATAATCTCGCATGCACCCCAAATAACGAGTAATTATAAATTATTATATAGTGTTGAATTAATTATGAAAGAATGTTTCAATATAAGACTGTACATGGCTTTCCTGCTTGCTATACAAAGGAACATATTACATTCAAATTACAATTTTCATTGAAACCTATCGCCTGTTTGATCTCCATTTTTTCAAAATTAATTTTCAACCACACATCATAAAATAATTATACACGTATTTTTTTAATAAAAAAATCCTTACTTTTTAGCCACACGTTCTCCAAAAAATCACTATTTCATAATATATTTTACCCTGAAAATGAGGATCGGGGCTGTATATAGGAATTATTGTTATAATGAAATTCATACTTCAGTTTTGGCTAAAATGTAAAAATAATTAACATTGAAATCATTCATTATTTTTTGTTTTGACGCTTAAAATTGTCTTTCTCGATGACTAACTGTAAAGATTTTGGGGTTCTATATTAAAAGGTTAACCTTATTAAGGGGAGTAACTCAAACCTTTATAAATTTGTCTATGTTTACATCTTTATTCGATATGAAATTCTATCCCTTAACATTTTAGGATTCTATCTTAAAATGTCAACCTTTTTAAGAGGAGTAACCAAAACATTTATAGATTGGTCTATGTTTACATCTTTATTCGATGTGAGATTCTATCCTTTAGCATGTCCCCACGAGATGGTAGCTCATTTGAGCAGACCAATTTTGAAATTCATATGCTCACTTTTTAGAGTTTTAATCGGATCGAATTACCCGTTAGAGCTTAATGAGCTTCAATACTATGTAAAGAATTATGATTACATCTTAAAAGGTTAAGCTTATTAAGATGAGAAACCCAAATCTTTATAAATTGGTCTATATTTTTATCTTTATTCGATGAGGGATGCTATCCCTTAACACTAACAACCAGTGAACCTAACTCAAAATTCTAATTTTAATTCTTAATTTAAATTGATACATCCACAAACAAAAAATTGAGTTATATTTTCTTGTAGTTTGTTATAACATGTGAATTCGTTATTGTTTATTATAATCTTATTATTTTATAATTTCTAATGCGGTTTCTAATTGCAGAAAAATTCATCTTTTCTTATTTTAGGTATATCAATATATGAAATATAGCTTGAAAAGTGATTAGGGGAATATATTACTCAAAATTCAAAATAAGGGTGATTAGTGATTTTTTTTTTTTTTAAAAAGGACGTCTTTAATAGTTTCATAAAGTTTAGAGGGTGTTTTTGATATTGTCTCAAAAAATAATGTTCAATGAAATAGGAATTTTGACATTAAAATGAGTGTATGGTGTAAATATCCAAAGGTTCTTTCGATATAGATATTTTGAGAATAAATTTGTGAAAAATGATTTTTTTTTAAATGAGTGGTTAAAAAGTAAGAAAATATTAAATATTTATTATTTTATTTGGAGAATGTATTATTAAAAATTATTTTGAATTGTTTTTTTTAAAAAAAA